TATCTGTAGGTACCAAGGTACAACTTGCATATTGAGAAGCAGTAGTATTTTTTCTAACTTAGTGATAAAATCCAAACAGGTGGTCAAGCAGAGCAGAAGATCTGTTAAGCATGAATAATTTCACCAGTCCTGTGACTTTGCTGTTAAGCAACTATATGTGCACATATAATTACAAATTGCAGGAACTTGCAGCACAGATATAGTGAGCAATGAATGCTCAAGTGTTGGCACTTTCTGATATATATTATCTTAAAATGATTTAGAGACTTTAAAATTATTTTCTGGAAAACTATGTTTATTTAGCACACACGATCCTTATACAGGGGCATTCCACTGTCCCAGGGAATAAGAAAAAAATAAAGAAGGGGAAAAGTAGAATTTATAAATTATTTTAATAGCAACAGCTGAATGCAAGCACAGTTGTCAGGGCTTTCTTGAAGTGAAGGAACTGTGAACTGATGCATGAAGTCTTCCTGGTAGAGTGGTAACAGTTTGGCAACAACTTTCTTAGCTGACATCTCCTGAGGTCTGCGTATGATTTCAACTGATAAAGATTACTCCTTCTCCTGACAGAAAGGATATCTTCCCTCCACAAACTCATTCACATAAAACACCAGATGAATCTCCCTGCAAGTTCATTTACTGTGAAACTCCACAAACACTTATGTCAATGGTCCTGAGGGAGCATTGCAGGAACAGGAGATGCTGTGGGGGAAGGAGATGATGGGAATTCCACTGCCATTACAATGCAGGAATATCTATTTCTATGTATTTTTACAGCAATTGGGTCTATCTGTAATTTAAGATATAGCCCAGTCATGTTTTAACATTTTAAGACAAAGACTACCCCGTCTACATGTCTATTTCAGAAAAATTTTCTGGTTTCTCCTTTTCTTATGCATCATGCTACAACTGCTAGAGTAGCAAAACTACAGTAAGGATGAGATGGGTAGTAACAGGGTAGTATTGATAATGGAGATTTTCTGTGAATGGAGGACTGAACTCCTCATCTGCAAAGCTGGGAATTGCAGACACCTCCATCTAATTTTAGCTGCACTGTCTCAGTTGAGAAGAAAAAGTGATAATACACGTTCCGGACTTAAAGCTGTCTTTAAGTCTATAAAACTACATAAAGAATATCTTAACAAACTTCTTCACACCCCCCACCCCTCCACTCCCATTATATTTTAACATTCTTCCATTGTCTACAACAAAGTAGCACATTAAAAGAAGAAAATTCGATACAGTTTCTTATGTGATACCCATCAGCACCATATCTGTAACCCTGCTTTCAGTGGAATTTGCCTCCTTCCAAAAGCAGTGACATCTCATTCTCAAACTACTCTTCAGAACAGGCCAATATTGCCCTCAACTTGATGACTTGTTTCAACTTGCTTTTCAGCTCTTCTGAAGTGTGATCCAAGTTCCCATGGTTATGAAGGCAGTCCAACAATCTCCCTCCAGCACTGAATACTAACCCATCTTTTTAGTAATCTCATCCCTGCAACAGTATTCAAGAAATTAAATTGCATTTAGTGAATTTAAACATACTGCAATCAAAGGGTTTTACTCCATGAATGAATGTGAAGCATTGTCTACTACCTGAGCCATAAAATATATAAATAACCTTAATCTGTTTTTATAAAATGCAAAACAACAGCAAAATACTGCTCTTCAGCTATTTTTGAAAGCTGTAATTTTGACTAATTACTATAAAGCATAGCATCTGAAAAAATCTGCACTCAATGACATTCTTATTAGTGATATATTTGTGCTCTGTATGGTATGTCCTCTGGTTTTCTGCTCGGTTTCTGCTTCACTTCCAATTCCTCTTGCCTGTCCATCTTCAATCTGGCTGCAGAGGCTCCTCTGGGATTATCCAAAAATTCTGCCAAAAGCAGGAAACGCTACGGAAATGCTACTGACTGCCAGGAGCCTGCTTCAGTCACAAATCCTTCTAAGAGTTAAACTGAATATGGTGTTTCTAACTAAGAGTGTGACAAGACTGTCATTGTAGTCATCATAGACCTGAACCATGATACAGAAACACTCTTGAAGAGCATGCTCAACACCTGAGACGTGTTTTACCTACGGCCCACCAATGCTGTAGCTGTTGGAAGTACCAAGACAACATAATCTGCTGAGACAGGTCCTTATAGTCAGGAGCTGGGAAGACCTTTTTATGCTTTACATTCTTATGCAAAGACACGTAATTCATACAACCTCAAATTAAATTGTAAAAGGGAAACAATCCAGGTTAATCATGCTCGGAAGTAGTTATTCAAGCACTTCATCACTGAGGATTTTCTAAAAAGTCATATAGACATTTGCCTAATAACAGCATTAAAGTTACTCTTGACAAGCTCACATTCATTAATACAGTCTCCTGTCCTATTCACAAGGACATGATAAATCAGCACAGGTCTGAATTGTCTTCTCATGCATAATAGATTATACAAGTAAGCAGTTACAGAAAGTTTTACTCAAATCTAAGTTTCAAACTTCTTCCCTCTTATCTATATGTATTCATAAATGCAAATTACATATATGAAGGTAAGGACAGAATTTAGTCTCAGATCAAGCAGCTGCATCTGACAATGTGAAATCCACTTAAATAACCAGATGGTACACACCAAGTCCATATGTATAGAAGAGACAAAACCATAGGTGGCTAATTTGCAACCTTTAAAAAAAAAAAATCACAAACTAAATAAAAAAGCATTTTAATGCCTTTTTTCATTAAAAATGCCTTTGTTCTGTGCAAACACAAATTGTCTTGAAGTGAATAAGTAAGCTCAGCTGTGTTGTTCAGTGATTCCATTAACCTTGCAACCAAGCATTAAATTAAATTGCCTCGTTTGGATTTCCCTGCTGCAGGGGAAAATGTACCTTCTAAGGTCCGTGTTTTATGTTACCAGAGCCAACAAATAAAAGCTTCACAACTAAACTTCTACGATAAATAACAAAAGAAACTAAACAAGTAAGCATATTGCAAAAATTTCTCTGATAACTTTTTAATGATTAACCTTATACTCAAAGGTTCACAGCCTGTCATACTCGTTCTCCCATGTGTTCAATTAACATCTGCTCTGAACAAGTCAACTGCAATCTTAATACATTGTCTAGGTGCACCAATAAAGCAACTCAGCACTCCTGCTTGCTGCCTCCACTCACAGAAAGAAGTAAGCGATTCATTACTGCATCATTTTATTCAAATCCTCTTCCTCATGCCAATTTTCAGCCTGGAAAACTGCTGTTCAAACCAACATTAATTTTTTGTTTAAACTGCACACCATGAACACCCAGCAACCGAAGAGGAGCTATTTTTAAATCACTGCCCTATTGTCAGAAAACTTTCCATAAGGTGGGTAGGCTTATATTCTAAGTAGAAAAGACAACACTCAATAATGGCAGCAACTCTGGGAATAAGGGTAATTTTTCTGCGATCCCATGTTGCAGCAAATTGCCAGCCATACGGAGTCTTTATTGTGTGGTGTAAAGTCCGTCCCCTCCATGTGAACTGAGAAAATAATTTTCAAAGCTGAAACAACTGACATAAACTAGGGATTGCATTTCAGTGCGTTACAATCCCATTCCAAGTGGAATATATTTAAACGCACAAATAATCTTTCTTGTCAAATGTACATAATTGGTCCTGATGTGTGGTGTCTTCAGAGAAGGAGCTTAGCAAATAAAATGTAAGAATAATTTAAATGCCAAGAAAAAGTGTTGCAAGCACAGAAAATACTGGACAGCGGAAGGAATCAATGACAAGGAATGTATCACTAGCTCTCCAGAAGGCTGTTACTTAAACAGAAATATAATTTATATTAGATCAATTCTGTATTATAAACAGATAGCTTCTGTTGATGTGCAATGTTCAGAAGCCATAGCAACAGACGAGGATGATACTTGATTAGCCTTTGGTTGCATCACCAGACGGCAATGCCTTCACCCACAGTCAACCAGGAGCGAGTGCTGTTGGCCAAGTGTGGGTTTCAAGTTGCAAATTTCAGAAAGAGATATGAGCTCCTGAAAAATCCAGGCATATTTTACAACTGGCAAGCATATGTTCACTTAGTAATTGAAACTGAGCTGAGATTCTTTGTAAGGTTTTAGTTCTTTTGTTTAGATTTACCATCCTGCTCTTTACTAATATCAAGAGAACACCAAAGCAAATTTAGTATGGATTTCTTTGAAAATAAGTCTAGATTCTCCACCACTTGTATTCCCTTAGCAGCCCATGCATCACTACCAAGAAAGTATAAGTCATATCAAACTCAGTCAACTGCATTATGTTGCAGTAAAGACTTACTGATAACAAAACAAAAAGAGAAAAAACTTTTTGTTCAGAAATTGTTTCAAACCTGTAACTTAAAATCCATGTTTTATACTTAGGGGTCCTTCATGGAATAAAAAGGATACAAGTTCACTTACTACATCAACAGTGACACTCACCAGGCTTTGGGTTTGGAAGGCAAAGAAGCAGCTACAGGCTGACACCATTAAGAACAAAAGTATTTAAACCATTTATCTCAACTCTAACAGAACGTAGGTCTCATTACTGTCCATCTCCTTGGCTTCCTTTATGATTGCATTCCCATAAATTATGGATTTTTATTCCCCTAATTCTTGATCTTTGGCCTTGACTGTTCACACTGAATCAGTGGACTTGGAAGAATTGAGGGAAATGAGATGAGAATTGTGGGGTTTTTTATATTTCAAACACTATTAAAATAGAAGTTTTACATTTTCTGGTGTTGCATCCTGTCCACAAAAACCCAGATGAAATTTCACCAGAGCAGTCGTAAGACGTAAAGTCAGCATTTATCCTGATACCTCTGTGAACACATAACTGAAAATACTCTGGAAAAGCTTGTATCTACCTGTTCAGTGTCTGAATTCCCAAAGCTATTTAATCTTAGAGATCCCATATGCATTAGATACAGCATGCATCAAATGTGTCATCAAATAAGAGTGTTTGCTGGATGAGACCTTACCTGTCAGCATCTCCGAGTCCCAGTGAAGTGTTACGCTGCATCGTCTCCCGCACTGCAGCCATGCCATCTGGCAGCCGGTTTAGCCTTCGAGTATAGAGGCCCAGACCACCATCGGTCATGTACCTTTAAAAGAGCAAAGCAAAAGGTCATGCTTAGTAAGACAATAAAACTTTTTGATATTATTGTAGCTCCTATGTTCTGTATGTTTTTAATTATATATTGCAATTTCCACACTTTGAAGTTAGGAATATTACGTGGAATATAAAGCAAAGAAAACTTTACTATTGATTAGATCAGAGATATTTTTTGCCTGCCATTGTTCTCCATTACAACTGGCGCTCTCATCAGTAAGAACTGAATTTCAGTGTAACTGTGACAAAGAGAGAATACTTAAATTCTATTAAGGATGCCTAGATGGAAGCAATTTAATATTTGTGAATGCTATCATTAACAATCCCTTCCTGACAAAAAAATGCATCGTTTATACCATCCTAAACTATTTTGTGTGGGCTAAACCAACATGACAAAATCTCAACCTTTTCACAAGTTAACTGCAGAAATCACACTGAATTAATCCTACATTTTGTCAAAAACATTTGAACTAACACATTTGAAACTACCAGTCAGATCCATGAACAATGAGTATCCCAAGATTTATCATAAGAAATCAAAGTTGAAGCATGAATTAAAAGTTATTTTTCAACCTTGTTTTGGCTCCTACATTGTAACTATGACCTAGAGATATCTGCATTTAAAAAGTGTTACTATTTTTAGATACTAAGACATGCCAGGTGTATATATGATAATTCACATACTGCATATTTCTTACTTTCTACTTTAGACAAATCAAAAATTAATCTTAAATTGAACAGAGATGACACATGGTGAGCAAGAATAGATAGATGTTGTTGATCACCAGGAACAATTACTCACAACAATGCAGATTGTGTCATCCAGCATTTTTGCTGAAGCCTGTACTGATGCAGACAGCAATAGCCATCACGTAATGTAAATTCTGGATGCGGTGGTAACCAAGAAAAGAAAGTTTTAAAAACTGTACCACCATCCAGCACTTTGGTTTAGTTTATGAATAAAATATTTTAATAGATTAAAACTGAAATTAAGAAGTTACTCCAGTCTTCACTTCATGAATAATTTCTCAACAAGCTTCCCTACCTCACTATCTCAATAATGTTTTAAAACATTTTGTGGCGCTTCATGAAAGTAGTACCTACACAAGTTCCAAGTGTCAAAACAGGAGAATTTTCTTCTTAGTTTAGCTTAATTTCTTAAAGTATTTCTGACTACAGATATATGTGAGCTAGCTTTAAACTAGAAAGGCAAGTCCCATTCGCCACAAGACGCCGGCATGGAGTGAGCTCTGTGCTACCACCACCAGTTCGTCAGCCCAGGTACATCTACACAAGCAGCACCAACAGTTGTGTAAATGCACCGTAAAGATTTTCAAACACCTGAGACTAAAATAACTCTAACAACTCCAGCAATATAGCCACTGCCTCTGGCATACTGCTGGACACGTAACATACCTCACTGAGTTAGAAGTTGATGGGATTGTATCCTCTTCATTCTTTAGTCACTCTTAGCAAATCAGCAGCTGCCCACAGAATAATATCCAGATACACAGGACACCCTACTGTTGCTTAAGGAGGCACAGAGCTCTTTCCCTACCAGCAAGACATCCTCATCCGCAGCAAGAAAGGACAGATGCTCCTAGGAGCAGCCACCAATGCCTTTGCTGGCAAGATGTTGCTGCAACAGATGTACTTCAGCCAAGTCAAATTCGATTACTACATTTATAAAAATGGGATGGTAACGAGTCAAGAAGCCTTGCAGAATCTGCTGGTTAGCCTTTCAGTTAGATGTACAAATCTGTACAGGGCCTTCCCGGGAACAACAGAGGAGCCTCTCTGGGGAGTCTAACAAAGAGGTTGCTAAGCCCGGCAAGTCAGACACAAGAGTATTCTCCATTCAGCAAATCGCATCAATTCTCCAAACTCATAGAGACTGTAAAAAGCATGAGGGGCAGTTGCACTATAACTCATGTGGAATTTGCCTTCGGTCTAGCATTCTAACTTTTGCTTGACATCGTTTATAAATATTTTATTGTAGAAGAATATGCTTTCCCTAAGCTAATGAAATAAAAGAAAGGGAAAGAAAAGTGGAGCTTAAGACCATATCGTTATACAAAGAGGCAAACAGAATTTTGCAAAAACATTTAATGTACATATGCTAATTGGTTTATTGCACGTACTTGTTTGCACATCAAACACCGTTTCTGTATGAATACCCATTGTACACGTACTAGAAAACGTGGCTTTTGGCTTTGCTGTCAGATTTCTGGCATATGACTAGTCCTTTGATAAAAAAGAACAACTACAGCTGAAATAGATTGTTCTCCACACTTATTACTCAGAATAATACTCAGAGAATACGTGAAATTAAATATATTACTCCTAAGAGTTAGCCATTCTGAAATCGGTGGAAAGCCTTTTCACTATCGACAGACTTAATCCTCTAGGTAGAAGCTCAGCAAGCTGATAGATAAGAGTAATTCTGCAGTTGCATCAAACTAGAAACTAAGTCAGATCTTCATTGGTTTTAAGCACTCATAAATCTTACAGAAGCCGATGGAACCTGGATTCCTTTGGCATCTTTGACAACGAAATTGTGAGTTTTTCTAACGAAGACACTGTAAAAAAGCACATAGGTGACTATTCTTACATTCCAGAACAACACAGGATAGATTTTCATATGTTGAAGCAGGTTTGTGTATTCACAGATTGAAAGATTTATATCTTATTTTTATTACATGCCATATCCTCTGCCCAGGAATCTTTAATTCCAAAATGATGCCAAAACCAATGATGCCTGAAGTCCTTCATGCAACAGTGAGGTGAAAGAAGAAGGAAAGGTACTAGCTTCCAAATTCTGTGGAGAAAAACACATTTACAATAAAGCCACTTTAAAATAAATGAAAAAAATAAATTCTCTACTATCCTTTGGTTATTATGAAGGAGATTACAAGTTACTGGTGCCACAAACCTCCAGCCATTCCTTTCTTTTCGTTCCTCTCCATCCCTTCAAACATAAAACTGTCTTGGCTCTCAGAAACTGTCTTGCCTTTATGAACACAACATTATTATTGCTGCAGATTTTTGCTTTATGAGAAAGGAGAATATAATGAAGGTATATTTTCCTAAAGACAATCTTATAAGGTTTTACTCAGGGAAGAATAAAACCAGGAAATATTATCCTGCATGTGCCTCATTCTAATAGTACTCAACACTACCTGAACTTACTGTCCTTTCATACACCTACACAACAAGGAATGCCAGTATACTAGCCTCTCCTGTACCATGACACATTGAAGTCCAAACTGTTGTATTAGTCCAGTTATCGATTAGATGTAATTTCTTTGACTTTTCTTATTAAAAAACACGACAAACTTGCACTAGATGCCTTGCCAGATTCATGAATTGTAAGAACTCTACAAGCGCATTCAGTACAAAAACAGGAACTTTGAAGTATGATCCGAGAAAAAGCGTAGTATCCAGACTCTGTGACTTTTATATAGATGGGTAAACTCTACAGGTTCTAAAAAGTTTAATAGCTCAGATGCTTTAGGAATGGTACCAACAGCCAAGGGGGAATAACTGCCTTTAATGAAGTTGAATATAGTAATACTTAATGAATGGACAGTGCGACATTGATGACATCAGTTAAAAGCAGTTTCTAACCTTTTCAGGAAAAAATGCCTGATACTTATCTCTATGGTCTCACTCTTCATCAGCAAGGGAACAAAATTAACCAAGCTTCTTTGAACATGAAAAGACTCAGGTTAAACAAGAGCAGTATTATGTACTTCAAACACACAACTGGAGCTTACAGCCCACTTTCTAGGTGACACTTTTCTATAAGAAAGTGGCTCCCTGCCCTGTATTAAAGGCATAAAGTAATTTGTTTTGGAGTTCCCTGGACAACCTGGACCTTTAAACTTCTCTTTTCTTTATCCAAATACACCTTTTCTGTGCCTCTGAAATTCTGAATGCTGTAATAAGTCCTTCCAAGTCCAATATTTTTAGGGTATTTCTGATGCTGAAGTGATTTATTTCCCTTTCCTGAAAGGCATGCTGAGGAAACAGGAACGGGTTATGTCAGGGATCCGTAAAACCCAGCGGTCTGAGTCACCTGACTTCTGTCCACACTCCCTACTTACTCATGTATCCAGCCAGCCAACAGCACACCTACTTTTATGGTCTGACAACTGTACCACTTCATATATATTCTTTTAATTCCTTAATGTATGAATATGAATTTTCCAATTTTGAAAGTAGATAGCCAAGAGACAAGCATTCTTTACTTAAGTACAAGGAAGAGAAGGAGCAGCAGGTAAGTCAGCAGCACACAACAGACTGGGCAAGCCTACCCTGACCTGCTCAGCATCGCATGGCTCTGCAATTGCAAACCCACAAGCAGAAGAGCAGCAAAGTGCCCCAAAACAGGAGCTGACTGGCTGTCCAGGTGTTCCTGCCTTCTTCTTGGTACTTTGGATTCAAGGTTAGTTTGGAAATAGCTGCCCAGGTGCCTCCTGGAAGAAGACTTGCCCAGCAACTCAAGCGTTTGAAACTCGAAGAAACAAAAAGCTTGTAGGAATTACAGCTTTTGGATTATTTTGCGCATCAACAGGCACTTTGACATGCAAAAGTGTTCTCTTTTAGTCGCAGTAATAACACTGTTACCCTTAATGCTCTCCTTTAAATGTTTATTTTCACTAGGCATCATCTGCCTCATCACTACAGTCAGTTAAAAGAGATCATGAGGCTTAACATGCTTTGGGTATCAAAGGAGTCTAACTTTGCCAGTCACGAAAAACCAACAGCAGAAAATTCTCCACTGCTGTTTCTGAAATATGGTAAATGTGATCCAAATGATCCTGTTATTGTAGCAAGGAATATGTTCTAAATCTGACTGAAAAAGAAATTCTAGCTTAACAGCAGGATGATGACAACCCTAAATTTCTCATGTGGTGTCAATGTGGTCTGCATTTTCTATCATGACATTGAAGTTAGACCCTATGATCTTTCCTCATCTTTCCCCCGCAA